AATCAGTACCACAGTTGGCGCGCTTCATGAAAGTTGCGTTGCGAATGTGCGACTGATGGTCAAGGATAAGTCCATTGAAGGTATGAGCTTAGTTCTTTGGTTTGTGTGTGAGTATAAGCGTCTAGGGTATTCTACAGATTACCCAACAAGTGTTTCTGCGTAAAATCTTCTAGACATCCGGGGGGATGAAACACATATATTTCGAGCTTCTAGATATCGAGATTTTGTGTTTTCAGTACCTAGTGACCCAAATATCTCCCACGTTTTTCTCCTCTTACTAACGCGAAACCTTCAAAGTCAAGTTCCTCACTGTTTAAAGACTGCGTCAACCAAGTTTTTGTGACTGCGATCATATCTTTTTTGATAGAGCATAACTGTGCACCTTACTACGATCACGTATTGAGTAAACTCTGGGCAGTTTTGTAACAGATCAGAAGCCCATTTAAATGACTTCGTGATAGAGATAAATAAATCCTTAAAATAAATAGTTCTATAAGTCTATGACATTGGTTCTTACCTCATTAGTTTTAATTGATACATCTAGCTGAAGACGCTTAGTCACGCATTCGCACCAGATAACGAGTGGGTATGCCGTGCTACGCAACTATTTGCCAACGCAGACCGAACGCTTCTCGACATATCGGTAGCCTTGCAAATAGATCTTCGATCGCCTACATTTCTGATTCTTGATTTGACTGGGTTGGTATACTTCGATTATAAAGGCGTTATTTGTGATGGCTTTATCAAACTCCAAATCCCTGTGACGTTTCAGGTTCATATTAATCGCCCCATAATACCCCTAAACTTTGGGTCCTCGTTTACGCTAAAGTTGAAATTGTAGAAAATTGTTGAAGTTGTAACGGAGTAGTTACAGATAAATTTGAAGTAATTAGGAGAGTGGACGAACTGAGGTTTGAAACGTTTCATGTTCCATGTTCCGTCGAACCCATGAGTAGTGTTATGGCAACTGCATTCATACAGACCTCTTGTTAACTGAAAAGCTGCACATCGATGGCCGCTATCGGGGAAATTCAGCAAGGTCGTTAGTGTTTCATCATCTTTACATGAAATAACTAGTGTGATCATAAGTAACCACCCTAGACAAACATCTTTGTTAGCAGTTGATAGTGGTGCCAACACAGCTAGTTTCAAGGAACACAAATAGACGAAATTTACTGCAGGCATTAAGTGGAAAAAGGTAGGTCCCAAAATGCATATCACTGATTAATCGTATTAAAACCGATGGTCTTCAGACTGCTGCTAAAACTAGTATTTAAGAATACGAACCTTTTCAGATTTAAGGCTTCGTAAGTGAAAGATGTCAAGGCCATTTTTTGTGTAACATGAATCCATTAATGTGACCTTAATATTAGTTGCACAAATATCCAAAAAAATGATTGAGAACCGATCAACACCAGATGTGTAAATAAACGTTAACAGACAGCATTCGAGTGTAATAACGAGAAAACAACTAGAACGTCAGAGAGATGAAGATTTCTAAATGTTGTAGGTTGATAGAAGGTAATAGATGTAGCACTACCAAATGAAAATGGCATTCTTTTATTGTAGTTGACAATATATCTAATGAGTGCAGTGTGAAATAACCAGTTGCCACTTTAGAAGCAAGGGACAAGATCCTCACATCTGTTCAGATTATTCCAGTCCAATGTGCTAAGCAGATGACAGTTTTCTGACAAACTCAAAACTTTATCGCTTTAGTCATATGATATTTAGTCCACCTACCATAAGAAATAAAATCTAAGAACAATTCATTCAAACAGTTGTCTAATATTTATCTCTGGTTATCGAATGTATAGAAAGTAAATATACAGGAAGCTATGCACACATCCTCAAATTACTACACAGATTCATGTGCTGTAACAGTTGATGAACTTAATATCCCATAACCATTAATTAAACTTCACGTCACTGAATTTTAAGAAATGCTATCGCGGCTGTTAAAGGAACTCTCACCTTTCATCTCAGACCCTTGAGGTCTATGTTTCAGTCTGTCAATAGTCTAATATAAATGATCAGGTATCTGGAATGCGATCATATTAAGTCACATCTCAACAACAGTTTCACATCAAAAATCTGAAAACTGTAGTCGAGTGAATTTGACTAATATATTTATCAGTGTAGTAGACGAGGACACCAGTGGGGACAATCAAAAGTATTATTACACAACATTAGGATCTAAGAACCCTACAGTAAATATTTCATTTGTAAAATATCTATAAAGTGTCTCAAACTTCGTTGTTCCTTCGTTTCCATACTAGTCACTCACTATTTTATCCTCTTCTCTTCGATTTTCTCAACCTCCTGTCACCAGGTCCTTCAGTTTCGACTGGTGATACATACTATTTATATCTGCCGACATCATTAGCAGGCACAATGTCCGGATTTTTAAAAAAGCTGGTTCTTAACGGATCGTTTCATCATGTATAAAAAACTAACACTTCTTGAGACATGACTTGGAATTACAATAAGTTCAAAAACATAAGTAGCACTCGAAAGCTATTAGCTTTAAAAACCTAAAGCTATCTATAACTGTAGCACCTATTGCGTTAACAAAGTTTATGACAAAATCTCTCATACCAAACTGTCACTTAGGTTAAACAATGTCGATGTCGTGAAGAAATTGTAATGTGTTCGAAATCGTACTCCATCGACCGTTACTTTAAATTGTTAGAGTTTCTTAAGCTCATTATTTTGTTATTTTTGGCTATTGGAAATTCCTTACATTACCAGAAGAAAATGCATTGTGAGGAGAAATAATACTCGACACAACATCAAGATTTGATTTTCCTGAAATATTTTCCCCAAATTTATTAAGAACAAAGAACAAAGGACCATTAGAAAAATCAGTATCTATCGAAACTACATCAGGTTTTTGATCATGATTAGGTTCACTAACATATTCTCCTCAGATTTGTAGTGAGTTTCAAAAGAAATGTGAGAATCCCTAGGAAAAACCATATCTAATACAATAAAATGAGAAATCTGATAAGTTGATTGATTAAAAACGGTTATCTCACAAGCGGTCTGAGTTTCATTTAACTCTGGTCTGCTATGTGACTCTGTACTGCTTTTCGAAGTCGTAGATAAAGATAAATTATCGCTAGATACACCCAAATTAATAGGATCACAACTACAAACTTTGTCATTACTTGCAGCGGAATGAATGGTAGTATGACAAACTGAATGGATGTGTTCAATCTCAACACATTTAAAACATTCAGCGTGACAAAATGCACATAAACTACGTGAATGAAAATTGCCACAGGACAAACATTTTCCAAACTTGATATCACCGTTGCGAACTGTATTGCATATCCTCAATGAATTATCAGCATGACGTTGAGTACGCATTGGGTTGGGATAACGTAGTAATGTAACAGAATTGTTGATGTCTTGATAAATAATTTTACGAAATTTCACTTTTTTACTGCATTCGAAATTTGTATACTTAACACAGTCTAGAAGTAGTTCCTTGAGAGTTGCATAAGGAAGTTAAATGTGCCTTTTTGGTAAATTAGAACAACACACATAAGTGAACAATTATTTTCAATTATATCGTCATCAGGCTTTACTCCAATATACATGAATATTTATACGAAAGTTTCAAACAAATCAAGGCAATTTGGGTCAATAATCACAATGGAATAGAATAGGCCGCCACAGAAAACAGGCAAAGCCACAATTTCTAATAGGCTGTATGCTTCTTTTCCGATGAATGTGAGGAAGTGCAAAGTAGTTCATCTGAGACACTTTGGAAACGACGAACAAAACTAAGGTTACTATTCTATAGGGGTGTCGCAGGAGGAAAACGATCTAGATATCTTCGTATTCTATAATCTAAAGTCTTTTTTCAACCGTAGCAAAAATACTTTTACGGCGAAGCTTGCGCTAGTTAAATTAAAGCATATTTTTGGGCAGCTTGACAGCATAACTTTTCAACAAACTTTTAAGCTGCATTCGGCTCCACTTGAAGCACAGGAATATGACGTTACCTCCTTAAATTTTAAATCATAAGGACAGTCTAAATCGTATTCATAGGTTGGTCATGCAATCATTTCAGGAATTCTAATTCAAACATTATGAGGGACATTTTTAATTAATGGATATATATCCATAAGAACAGGGGAAATTTAAAGATCATTTAATGAATTGTATAATCTCAAACACTTCTGATCACCTCCTAAAATACCCAGTAAAACCGAGTTTTGACATAAACCTTAGCAGCGATGCCTGGAAACTAAAGGTACGACTCAGAAATTTGGACTGTAGGCCGTAGTGGCCCGTAGTCTGACTACGATTTAGACACGAATAAATACTCCAAGAACATAAATCTTCAGCTTAATTACTTACATTACACCTAGGCTAACCCCGTTTGACCGCCAGTTCTCATAAGGAGCAGAATACGAATTGGGTTGGACGAATGTGTTTCAGACATTCGTTTACTCATACAGGTATTAACACGCGAAGCAGGAAAGCGATGCAAATCTTAGAAGACTGGCCTACAAACTTCTTTTTACTACTCATTGTAAATCCTAATATAACCCAAAATAAATCATGCACAGTGTGACAAAGATACAGGTATTGGATAAAAGCATGAGTGACAGACATATGTACAAGTATGCGCAAAGCGCATAAGCATAGAATTACAAGTGTATGAATATGGCATATACTTGCTGACAGTCACAATTTTCTGTACAAAGAATAGAGTTACTGTTAAGGTAAAGATGACTCAGTAATCACCTGTTTTCCGAGTTATTATTATTAAGGTCTGTCCAAAAGATAGGATGAATCATGTATGTGAGAGTACTATACGCTACAAGGCACGCATAATCCTTACATATATTCAAGTATCGGAACCTATTATCAGTTGATGTAGCCCTATTAAATTTTTACGAAAACTTCAAGAGGACTCAGGGTAAAGAAAAGTCGTCCAACAATAACTTCATTCATTCCGTACACAACAATTTGAACTATTCGGATATTGGGTCATTCAAAGCGCTTCATATATACTGCTACGGTACGTTATGGAAATAAGCTCACAAAGGTCCCAAACAGCTAGCCACATTGTAGACCAGATAAAAAGCCAAGGATTATTTGATAAAATTAGAAAGCAATGTCTTGAAGATGTTGACGTAAACTTAGACTACCAAGTTCTCCAAAAGAAGGTGAATTCTTTTGTTTCATCATTTCTCCAAAATCAGTCATGGAATCCTGGAGTTGAGAAGTTGAAGTTAAGGGAACAGCTACGGACCAAACTGTTAAGTACCAAAATGTTGTCTTGTGGAGTTGACAAACTCGTTAACCAGGCACTTGATGCTAAAATGCCTAAAAATTTCAAGAATCAAGTCCAGAATATTGTTTGCGATTACTTTGACTTAAACCCCGAGTCAATATTAGCTAGTAGCCTAGGTAACCAAAATTGTGTTGAAATAAGACCTGCAATATACCCTGAAAATCCGACGGGACCATATTCTGCCGATTCGTTTGACCGAGCTTATGGTTCTGTAATGAGTAATCCCGTGACCATACCCACACCTCAAGGCATCCAACCACCGTTTCCATATCCCTACCCCCCAGTCCCTGTTCAGCATTCAGTTATTCAGGCGAGTGTTCCATGTCCAATCACCGCTTATGTGGGACCAAGTGCAAATTATTTGATTCCACCACCGCCTCCTCCCCCAAGTGTCTTTTGTCAGCCACTTGTCCATTTTAATAACCAGTCATCAGTTCCACCACAAAACTTCCAAACTCCAGCGAATAACACTGTCTCTCCTTCAGCTACTCATTCGGATATAGAACACGTGAGTTGACGTATTTTTTATAAGTTTGTTTTCTGTAAGTTTGGAGTTCACTAACGGTTTTTATAATCTGTTGCTGCAGAAATTATTTTGTTATAATAAATTTTCAAAGACTTTCTGATGTCATCGTAGATCATCTTAATGTAGTGGTCCACTTTTGTTTTCATGCCAGTGGTCTTGCCAAGTTATTTTCTGATCAATGTCCTATAAGTGTGATGTATTGGTGTAAAACAATGTCCTTTATTGGTTGTAAAGCAAATTTACAACCGGCTTCATTCATTCACAATGTCTACCGACTCATATAATGTCGGACTCAATATTTTCGTCAATTAGTACGGTTTCTTAATATCAGAGCCTTCAATTCGTTGGACAGAAACATGATCTTGATGTCTGTTGAAGGCGAATGTTACTGGGAAGCTCATTAACATCCTGATGATTTTACTCAAACGCTTAAGGTAGAGTGAGAGCAACTATGTTTGTTTCAGTCTGACAGGAGTTAGATTGGGTTATCCACTCACCATTTCTCTCGAACTTTGCCATCTATGATACTGGAAACGGATCTAAATGTAAGAAGTGATATAAAACTTATTTATGGAAGTGATTTTTGATCTTGAGTATGACATCGTGACATGAAAGCAAGCAGGGTGAAACTGTCTTATAGATTCATTGCAAATCCCCGGTTGGGGTCCGATGAATGATGTTATTTGTTGATGTCAGAAATGACTCAGAATAAAAGCCAGTGACGATTTTGTTGTAGTTCTGTCTTACATTCGCCATAAAAGTGAGAGCTTCCTTAACTTTAAAAAAAACTTTTGTTGCAATTTTGATTGGACTGTTGTTATGTGCTATTCTTGTTTACCTATTTATTTACTGAACTCTAATTTGCTTTATTTCACAATGTACCACTTATTTGTGCGGCCCATACATTTTTGGTGCCCATTTGTACCAACATGTATATGTATTGAGTAGATTAATTAATTAATACAGATGAACTTAAACATTAGTCCGTTATGCAAGTATCTAATTTTATTTGCGTCCATTGTTTTTGGATCGCCAAATCCTAGTGTTTCACTTAATAGTTGAGCGGTTTGAGCCGGTAGAATTTTTAGGACTAAGATTAATACTTCTTATCTCACTAGTGTGGATAAATCCCAAGGTATTTAATAAGTGTAAGGAAATCCGTAAGGAAGGTTGAAGGTTTAATAATTCGTAAAACTTTCAGTTTGGGGTTGTAGAGGCCATTTACATCATGAACCGATAGATGTTTGACCACTTCGTCCTAGTATAGGACTTCTCAACAGTAGGCATCCACGCATCCACCGTTGACCTTTAGACCATTAGGCCGGGATCCAACGGTGTTAATGTCTAACTCCAACCAGTCCACGATGTCGCATGGCCACCTTCCATTTTCTCTGGTGGGTAATCGCCTCACACTCGACGCTATTGAATTTCAGTGCTCACAACTTCTCACTAGAACCTCAAGAATTTCCTCTCAGCACTAGTCACTAGCGAGCACATGATAATTTCCGGTTTGGGTTGTGAAGATTGTGGTCTAATACTGTTCGGTTCATAATTTCTATGGAATTCCTTAAACGTAGGTTTTGTCATATTAGTGGTCTGATATTTTTACCATGCTTAATATTCACTTTCGGTCTTCTACTCAGTTTTACGTCAGGGTTATTTCTGAAAAATTTACAAATGGAAGACCTAAAGTACTTGGACTCGTTATCTTCGGCTGCCACATCTTTATACACTGTGTTAACATTCAAGCTCAAAATATTTGTTCATTTATGCGTACTCACTCGTCTTATCACCTTTTATTTTATAATCCTCCTTAATTGCACCAACACATACATATTCTGTATGTAGGGTAATTCCTACATTTTCTGACTTAGCCTTTGGTATTTCGTTCTATTCACTAATATTTTAAAGTAGCAGGTGATATTGGTGCACATTTATGATAAGTAACTTTGGACATTTAATAAAAAGTATGGTTAAAATCCTTTGAAATTTGGTTCGATATATAATTCTTCTGTAACCCTTGCAATTAGTGCAACATAATACTTTTCTTTTCCTTTGGTATTTTTACTTAATTTCTACTACTCTTGGTAAAATTATGTTTTCATCGCTTTTCTAGTAAATTTCCTGTTTCTTCAGTGCTACTAATCGCGGGAATGAGTATGTTTACTGAGCTCTTATGTTCCAATACTTGAACAAATATTTAAATCTTCGCATGACGTATAATATATGACTGATATAATTCGTTTGATTGGTTAGCCATATACTCGTCCATTGCGTCTAATAAATATTATTAAGTATTGAAAAGAACAATAAATCGATAATAAAGCATCAATTTCAATAGATTCATGGATTTCGTATTGTCATCTAGTAGGTGTTTATCGATGAAATCCGCCAGATCAGCGGTTTTGGGAAAATAGTGTGCTTTACTGGTAACTTTATTTTAAGTTTCATACTAATTGTGTAGTTTGAAGGATGGTAATCATTCCATCTCATGTGATTAAAACTCTTTAGATTTGTTAATAATAATCCGGATGATAGTCTAAAATTCTAAATTTAATTGTTGCTTGACTGTGGTTGCTATGTTGACATCAAAACGCGAAATATTACTCAAATGTTTTTCAGGTTAGAACACAACCCCTAGAAGTTACAGTAGAAGAATCAGTACCATGCGATGATCCTATGGATATAGGTAAGTGAATCAATTAAATATGTAAATTTGTTTCTACATATGTTTCTAAGCTACGTAAAATCTTTTTTTTTACAGTCCATAAATACTCTATAGTTGAAAGTCTCGTCTGTTTGTTGAATGCTCAGGTACGGCCGCGGGTGGAGAGAGTCGGCTCTCCCTCACGAAATACTCTCACATCGCCACGTGCATACAACCACTATCAAGGAAGCCCTACTCACTGCTTTCTCGTGGCAGGAGTGTTGTTTAAGAAATTGAGAGGACGAAAAGCGAGGTTCCGGCGCTTTAACGGGGTTGGTGGACACAGAGGGTTGACCTAGGGGAGTTGGTAAACCTTGATTCTCAACCGATGGTGCACATGGACTCCAGGATCCTGAAGGAAAAAGTGACGTATGAACCAATTGTTGGTCACCGGCTACCATGGGACTGCATCTCCTTACGTTGCTTGACTGCCTTGTGGATCAGACATTTATGTCGAAGGCTTAGGATGTGGACCCCTAAGAAAACCACCTGCTTCGGTTTGCGTACTCGGGCAGTATCCCATCCATCACACAAATCGAATGATTTATATGGCGCATATCTGTTTAGTGCCTGCTTGTACCAACGTTTGTGTGTTTAAATAATATTAATGAAGTCTGTTTGTTGAATAAATTTAACTCTTCAAAACCACATCAGTCTTTCATGCAAAGAGAACGACCAGCTTCCTTCCTTAGATATACTTATAAGTAGATGAGGAGACGGTTTGATCCAGCGATCCATTTTAGAAAGTCAACTTGCACAGGCCAATACTTTAGTTATTATACTTTCTACCCAGTGCAATACAAACGGGGCTTAATAAGGGGTCTGTTTTACAGGATTAAGTGTATTTGCACAAACAACACTATTGATGAAGACCTTAGGTTGTTGAACAGAGCATTAATGGAAAGTGGTTGTCCTGTAAAATTCATAAATCGATGGAAAGGCTATGGTATAGTAAAACCTACTATAGCTTTGGCACAAAAAAAACCGGTCTATATCACCTTATCGTTTAGAGGTGATTCAAATACTCTTTTATTTCAGCAAAGGCTTAAGTCAGTTGTAAATAAGACCTACTACACAGCAAAAAACATTATCAAAGAAAAAAGAAGGTCCATACTTTACCAAAGACCTAAAAGAAATGAAAACGATTGCGTCACATCAGTCAGTCAGTCAGCTACAACGTAGGGCCAGGCACATATGTGCATCAGTCCAGGTTGCCATACCTCATTTGCACAGCAAGATGAACATCGGATTCATAGGAGTGGTTAGGCTAAAGGTGGTAATATATAGGAGAAAGATTGCATATAAGGATACAGTACCGGAATATAGAGTTAGTTCGTAGAAAGAAAGATATGAAGCGATTTTAATCTTTTAGTTTAAGGGAAGACAGGGAGTGTATGCACCAACGCCATTGTGATCTATTCTGAGCCATGTCACCAAGAGTCTCCAACCATCGATTACGAAAGTCACGCGGACCCTAACCTAGTAGTCTGCATCTACCAACATGGCTCAGACTAGAGGTTAGTGTCTTCAAGCACTGATGCTACGTTTTGGTTTGGCCGCCCCTAATTCTCTTCCAACCATCTCTAACACCCGTTAGCAATTGCGTCACATCCCATTGTGTTGATTAATTTCAATATGTGTATGGCCTTACATATATAGAAAGCAATATTCTTGATATCCAAATTAGGGTGTCTGGACATGTACCTAAATGACTGCAAAAACAAGTAAAATCAAATAACCTAATATGAGTAGATGATAGAAATCTATCATCCTTTGTTGACAAACATGTATTTGAAACAGGTCATAAGATTGATTCTAATACAGCTTCTTTTGTGTTGTACAAAAGTGTTAAAGGGCCTATACTAAGGTTTATTGAAACCTTAGCCATACGGAAATCCAAACCTTTATGTATTCAAAAACAGTTTGTTCTCACCTTAAACCTAGCCTGGTAATATTAGCTTATTATCCAGCCTGATTAATATTCGGTTTGAGTAATCATCATGTTTCACTTAAACAGACGATTTTCACACCTAAACAATAACGGCTATTCAGTCAGTCAGCTACAACGTAGAATCAGGCATATATATGCATCAGTCGAAGTTGCCATACCTCATTAACACAACAAGATGATCACCAAATTCCTAGAGGGAGTTACTTCGATTTACTTATTTAAACACATAAATATTGGTACAAAGGGGAACCAAATACATATGCGCCACATAATAATAATGAGAATGTGAAGAGATAGAGAATGTAAAGTGCGTATAATATATAAAAAATATTGCACATAATGACATGATATAGGGAGAAAGAATTAGTTCATACAAAAAAGGTATTAAGTAATTTTTGCCTTACGGTTTAAGGGAAAACAAAGAGTGTTTACACCTACGCCATTGGTGAATATGTGGTCGATGCAGCTACAACCAGGTTTGAAGGCAGCCTGGTTTTCTTGTGTTTGCAAGTTCACGAGTCTCTGTTACGAACCCGATAATTATTGAGGCTAGTATTTTAAATGCTATTTTAGTTGGGTCGCCAGATAAACGGAGGGTGTATCTTATCGGCTCCCCGTTTTGGCTAGGTGAAGTCGAGGGAATGACCACATTAGGATCCTGTATGCGTGTTTCAGAGACACAGCATACATCAATGGTACGAAATTCTAGGGTCTTAGCCAAGGTGGCCTGCTGGCCGATTTGACGTAGGGTACGTACGTTGAAGGCTCCAACGTGCAGTTTGGAGCGAGGTTTCAGTAGACCTGAAGCAGTGTTTCGCGCGTTAGAATCGTTGGCCGTGGTGACACTTGATGGGGGGAGTTTAGAGTTTTTAGTCGAGGTAGGAGAAGCAATAGGAAATCAAGAGGTGAATTAATTATGAATACAGTGGTCTCGAGTGTTGTGAGAATAATGGGGGTGGTTATCAATTCCCAGTTGCCCACACCGTGGAAGTATTTATCTAGAGGTACCTGAAAAGGAAATTGGGTTAGAGTTGGTTATAGTGACCTGAGAGTGTGACCACAGTGCCAAAAGGACAACTGCTTGAGGTCAGTCACACACCATCTTACTGATCAAGTTTCGTGTTAGCTCCGTACTTGTTGGGACCTTACCGCCAGGGACGGAAACCCGTGGGATAAGGGGAGGTGTGTGTTCTCAGTGTCGATCATTTTTAATCCCACCCTTCCTTTGTGGGAAGGCAGCATTACTGTTATGCTGTTTTTTTAGGAATATACCTTACTGCCGTCACAACTCTGTACAGTCAACAGTACGACTTCGCCCTCGAACCTTGGGTTTGTTGCTTTTAGTCTTACCGTTCTTCAACCAACCTGTCTGGCATGGTAGGACCTTGAAGAACGATTGTTCCAGCCAGTATATCCCGACTAGTTCATCACGATAGGCAAGCCCGACAACCACGTCAAAGTAGCACCACCTTTTCCCCTGCTGTAGAGTGATATATAGCTGATTGGTGTGCAGTGTACTTTTACTTTAGCCTCCAAACGGTTATCTTTATTGCACAGCGTGAAACGCAAGTATGAAAATCTTAACACCAAACATTTCTTATAATGAGGCGAGATTTCGTCAGAAACCAACTCACTAGGTCTACTAAATATGTGCAAATATATATACCGCCTTGTAGTCGCATACTGCTTTTAATTCATGGAATATAGTTATTATTAAACGTCGGCAAATATATCTATTTTCCAAAACGATGAGGTGAGACGTCTTTGTGTGTCACCCCTTTTTTCCGAAGCTTTCTGCTCTCGAGCTTCAGTTATGTGTTGAGTGATTAGGGAACCTAATATCTCAGAAATTATGAGATAGTCAAGATTTGTAGTTCAGGTAGATGATTTTGGTGGAGTTTTGCTTTTTGGGTTGGACGATTAATTCTTGAAGCTGTTATTGTTCTTCTGAAAAACATCGTCAGCACAAACTAGGTAATCTTACGAAATAGATATGTCGTGATTTCTCTCATTACCACCCAGCTACTCTTACTGCTTAGTTTTTTCACTCGATATGTCCCCAGATCAGAACACAGTTGAACAGGAACGTAATTATATTTCAAATAACAAGGTTAAATGGAAGTAGGAATCACGATAAACAAAACGTTATTATATTTATTATTATCATTATATAAGAAGATTAGGGTTTCCTCCAAGTATCCGCTAACGCTGACTGGCTAAGAAATAACCAATCAACATGCTCCAGCACAATCCTGCATGGAACATGCTTTAATCCAATAATATCCCGCTAACAAGATGACACTCCTGGTCTCGTTAAATAAATTTTCTCTTGTCATTTCGATTTTTTGGCTGCTTTCTTTTGCCTACGTTTTACTGTCATTAGGTCGATCCGAATCGCTCACTCTATGAATTAAAATCTCAATTGAATAATTATACAAATTGTATTTTCTTAAAGGATATTTTTACACTTATGTCCCTTATTCTTCACAGAATCCTTAAGTCCTAATAGTCCTGCTGATGAATCTACTGCATCATTGTTACATGAAAATTCAGAATTCTGCGGAGAACGTCATTCATCTAAAGTCAGCGAAAAAAGTTCATACCGACAACCTAACAAGATTGCTTGGCATGATGTCCATTTACTGTTGGATGATGTTTCTGAAGATGAAGAAAAAGATGTGAATTCGAAGTCACCGACTTCTCTTGGAAACTCCATTCCATATTCAGACCATTCCTCAGTTCCAAGGTCACCACATACAATTTCTCAGTCCTATGATCGGAACCTATCAGTTCAGAGTACTTTCTCCCGTAATATTCATAATGCAGATGATTGCATACGCTCTACCTCACCTATCGCTTACGATGAACGCAAACATCGAAATAAATACATGACATCTACTTTAGAATATAATCCAGAAAGTTATGTTTCGAACTTTAAAACTGAAAGTGCAAGATTATGTCATGAACAAAAGTCTGATTCTAACGATTCATACTCAACAAATACATCTACGAATCGTACGAATCATAATTACTCTAAGTACTCAAGGTCGTCCACTTCACCGTTCTCTACTAGTCAGTTATGTGATGCGAATGACTGGTGTACAAAATCTACTGGGATGAGCTCGCGAATCGAAATATATCACGGTAGTCAATCAATAAGAAGATCCCAAACTTCTTCGACTAAAAGTAAGGTATTTAATAAAAGATCCTCTTGTATTGTGTTCTGCGATTTTTACAGATGAAGTTTACGAATTTTGTGTTTCCATTTAGAAATTGTCTCTGATCAATACAATTTTATTTACTTATTTTAGTCGACTATTTCTAGAATTATATCTCTACTATTTTACACTTCAGTAATTTAAAATGGGAACAATGAGTTATGTTTTGCGAGGAGAGAATGTGTATCGTAAAATAGTTTGAATATGGGGCATTTTGCCTTTTTAAATTTTCTAAATTATATATGAAAGTGTAATAGTTACAGATTTCGTATATTCTACTTAAGGGGAATGGTGAATTGTAATTCTTCGTTATTATGCCTATCAGGTATATCATACAACTATAATATGTTTCATATGTATGTCAAAGTAAGATTCGATTCCTTGTACAACTTTAAAAAAAAACAGCCAGTTTTGAGGAAAGGCTTTATTTGAGCATCAATTAAAACCCTAGCGATCGTTTCGAACAAGTATTCACTTACTCTGACCATGTTTACTTTAAATAAAGTACTTATGAAATCATGCATTTACGGGATTTCGACCTAGTAATTTGTGTAGTTTATCAACAAAGAAATGGATCCCGTTTAAATTGTATTAGCTACATTGCAATAATATACAGAAATGGGTTTAAGTAACAAACTCGTTGTACAAAAATCTGCGTATTGCATTAGATAATTCGTTTAATAAAATGTGGTCACGTGTAATATATGAATGATGACTATTTGCAATTACGTTTGATACCGTTCAAAACTGACACCAGTGGAAAAGCAGGTTGAACAGTTCGTAGTACGAATAGTTCAAGATTTCCTTACAGTTTAAATTCTAGATAAACTTTAAAATTCCATGTTAGTCAAATTTTCATAGTCTACGAACTCATTTAATGTATTCGCCTTTTTATAAGTTGTTACCTTGTATTGAAGTCCAGCTAGCCTTAAATCTCAGGTACATACAGCTTTTATTCCAGTTAGTGTCCAGGCTTATGATGATGATTGATGTATACTTCTATGACCTAGTAAGATTTTGTAGGAACTCAAAGTCTCATAATTTCTGATCATTTGGTAGTTGTAAGGGAAACGAATTTATTCAAAGTAAATGTGTTTGGTCAGTAACTCATCTAGTGAAACGTACTATTGTATTCAAAACTGCTAAGCGATCATAATTAATTTTGTTACTATGAAACGATTATTTCCATGTATTGTTTTTGAAATAGATCAACCAGTATATAGCCCAACGAGCCACTCTGAGCGTCATCTTTCAGACACGTTTAGACAATCACATTACACGAAAAGTCCGGATATTTTTATGGATCGTCGTTTAAAGTCAGACTATCCATCGAGCAGTTCTCTGTCCAATCAGTTCCGTTCATCACCAGATTCTATGGTATGTATCGTTGAGGGATCATAAAGGTTATTCAGTCGAAGTTAATTATTTAAACATTATTAAAAGTTTTGAAGGACCCCATGCCACATATCCCGAGATGATCTAGAATATTTTTATTACAGGATGAAGATCTTGAAAGTGTTGTAAAGCTTCCATTTAATGCCTCACATTTCAGCGTCCGCTCATTAGGTCGAACTCAAAGGTTGATTACAATACATTGATTTACAAATTTCACATTCACCTTTTCTTGGTTAAGCCTTTGGTTGTATTTCAAATACTCATTGAGAGTTCTCGCTCAAGGCATTCTGGTACGGTGAAAATCCCCACTCATGCGAAATTTCCCAGCTACTATTTTATTGCTGCTGCATAGACGACCTCATTATAGGGCAATGTTAGTCTACTTAAAATATTTAACTGCATCCATCCATCTATCACATTTATACTAGAAGGACGTTAAAGAAAAGTATACATCAAAATTCAACATCAGTTGCTCAGTATTATCCATTTTTATAGTCCCGTAACTCGTGCAAACGAAACCTAGTCGAGAGTTTAACACATTGTGTGAAAATTATTTGCTCCAATGATACCAATAAAGAAGAGTTATGTACTATCTGCAACTTACTCAGCGTGAGTGCTTATCCGTTAAAATCTAGTGAAAAGCACATGACCCAAGTTAGGACGAAGAAAAAACTAGTTCCTGAAAAGCCAGTATTCATAAAGCTGCAATTCTCAAACGATACTATAATTAAATTAGTAATACAGCGAGTAAGAAAATCCTTACAAAGGACATTCGATGTGGTAAAATTGTACGCCATATTTTACAACCAACCGAGTATTAGCACAGAAAATAGGGACAGACTTCTCCAATACCCTTCGTCTATATGCGTTTGTTATTTCAACTGCTCATGTGGAGCCGGATACATTGGGCTCACGATTTGGCAAGTCTGTCACTCTCTTTTGGAATATCATTCCACCTGGGTAAGTAAAGGATAAGTATGATTGATTGATAGCTCTATACAGGCTCATTTGATGGATACAGGACATCAAATAGCCAAAATAATCCGTTTCAAACTATCCACTGGGTCCCACCAAATATACCGCTTGGTTTACGCATGTCTTTTCCATACAGCAAGAGCCATTGGTATCTACTTTAATAAGCCTAGTCTGTGCCTCCATGAAATTTATACAATCGCACTCCTCACCTCAGCCGTCATAATTACCAATATCTAAATGAGTTAAAAATGACTTGTTAAACAAAACTTCTACTGTTTTTTTTACTTAGTCTTAATATTCTCTTTATGATTACACACCTGTTATTATTGTTGAACTTATCAAAAACTTTATCAGTCCCTTAATTGCATGTTCAAATTGTTACTTATTGTAAACTTACCTAACTTGTCAGTCCCATTGTTATCGATCCCTAAACTATTTATTATTTGATTTTATATTAGCTTTATCAATGAACTTATTTGTACGTTCTCTGATTGTGTGGTAGGTTGTACTTGTTTCTATAGAAACAAACGGTCTATATTTCCAAACTCCAGAAAAGTTTCTGGTAATCAAACTAAAACTTATTTTCAGATTAGATGGCGTTTCCCAGTTGTTATCTATTCAAGCGTAGCCATGTCTTGTAGTTCCGACCATCTTTCTTGAAACAGCATTACCTTGATTTTACCTATTAGATTGTCCATGTTAGCTCCCTACAGTTTTGGATTTCGTCTAACCAATATAACGAATGACCTATTAGGATATGATGATAACCGTTTTCTCTAGTGTAGTCCAGTAAAGTATGTGTCGGTTTGCTTGAGATTTGAAATATCAACAGTAGTTTCTCTCCGAAATACTCTTTAAGGGATTTTAATTTAGGGTCTAAGATTTTATATTGCTGCATATTCGACATATTGTTACTGAACTTATGTAGCTCTACTATCAAGCATACGTCGATCACTCCAATAGGACCAAAAGCAGGAATTTTACGTTAGAATTTTCATTGTTTTAGTCTCGACCTTACAACAATTAGTTTACTACGATAAATCAAACCGAAAAAAAACTATTATATACGACTGCTTAAAATACTTTATGATATCAAAATCTCACTTGTCTGTTTTGTTTAGGTTCAGACAAAGATGCGAAGTAACAAAAGTTATCCTAACATTACATCATCCTGTGAATGGGCAAGAAATGAATCACGTTCCCCTGAAGAACATTCTAGTAGATCATCCTCAATGTTCTCACAAGGTAACTACTCATTGTCGTCAGTTTCAGAACGTGTGACACCAGATCCAACAACAACTTCCCAATACCCCAGTTCATCCACCTATAAGACTTTCGAAACAGGTAGAACATTGAGTTTCAAAAATAAAACACTACTTTTTCTTCTTTATCTAATTGATGTACTTTTTAAATCATTTTATATCGGTATTTTAGAAACAGTAAATGCGTATTCTCCTGACCTCGCTTCTGATCGGTTAACTCGGAAACGTGAAATTGAAGCCAGATTGAAAGAGATTGAGTCAACTGAGCGGAAGCTGCTGAACTGGAAAAAAATGCAGAGTTACGGGAAAGAAGCACGACCGTTCACAAACCGTGATGATGTGGAATATGGACCAGATTATAGGAAGTAAGCACTTGATTTTAAGTGTTGAATTTTTTACATTTTATTCGTAGATATTGTTTACAAAACAAACAGTTCAATATACTACAAGTTGTAGCAATGTTTGGACGTTACTAAGTTACTGCATAACGCCTAGTTCATTAAAAGCTATGGTCAGTAGGATCCGCTCTCATTTTAAAGTGTAGTCATCTACAAAGTACGCCATTATGTATAGTTTGCTTATCTGGGAATTTCAGCAGAAATTTCGAGATTGGCAGCCTACGGTTGACTTTCGGTATTAAATAGCTAATCGTTTGTGTCATCTTTATCCAGGTCTAATATTCGCATAATAAACCTGTTTTAAGATAAGCCTAATTGGCAACAAGAAAAATAATACAATTGTGATAGATTATTAGGTAAGCAGCATTAAACTTAACCTAAATATCGCCCATTCTGGACACGAACATGTAATTCAGATGAACAAAAGAATCTTAAAGCTCAAAATCCCGGCTGAGAGAATTTCTTACGATAATTGTAAGCTCATCGGAACAACATTTTAAACGTTACAAGAAACACAATAGACTAACAGAGATCGAATCATACTCTGGATACAAATTCCAGCTTACTGTGTTACAACAGGCTTTTCAATACGGTTTGAGAAAATGCCTAAGGGATGAGTAATTTAAAATTTCCTAAATTTATATGCTGTATTTCTTGTTAGTGACTGTGATTGTTCTAATTGTAATTTTCTTTGAAATTAAAAAAAACACTTCCATTTTTGACTTCTAATTATTTTTATAGACTCCCAAAGAAATATCTGAAGTGATTTCGGCAAGAAGAACAAACCACTAACTGATGAGTTAGCAAATACTTCTACACGACTGTTAATCTCAGCGTTATACCTCCACCACCCTCAAATTATTCCCATGAACTGTGATTATAATGAAGTGTGCACCAGCCTGAAATGATTTATTTCGAAAGTACATGCGTTGTTTTTGCGTGCAGTTTTATGGTCGCTGAAAGCACATCGATTTCATGTATAGACTATAAAATCCATTTATTTCATTAAAAACTTTATCAATAATAAATTATTCTAAATTAAATATTGACAACAAATCTTTAGTAAAGTGGAATAAAAGTTAGTTTAAGTATCACAAACTGCAATGTTATTTATGCTTCATTTGGCCAATTCGAGTTCCTTTTTATGTTCTGTAAAAGTAAATAATTTATGCTGACGTGTTAGTGTATTATCTGAACGGTACGCAAATTAAGAATGGGTATGAACAAGAACATTGTTGCTGCATAAGAATTAATATGGTAAACCCATACAGACCAAAAATATCCCATCGTACTGTTAGTACAAATTATAATCATTCCGTCAAAAAATGTGCTATCATTCGCATCGATGGAGTAGGTTCATTATTACTTCGTATAACAGATCTTACTATTGAATACTTGAAAGTATTGAGAGTAACGTCGACCAACAATGAAAAAAAAGAAAATTATCACTTATTACTTAGTGTCTCTAGCGAAAAATGGGGAGTATCCATGAGCATTTATCGGTTAGTGACTTCGGATTAATTCCTATAGTGCTCTAAATATAATAACCTGCACTGTTAGCTTCTGCCAAAATCTAACTAGACGCATATTAAGTACTGTGAACTGAAGTATCTTCTAAAGAAAGTACATTCTATGTGACAACATCTGTTCGTATGGAGACGTCGAAATTTATTTAGATGAGGAATAGATAAACATCAATTGTTTAATAAGTACTTACTTTTAATAACTGGACAAAACTTCTTATGTGTAAACCAGTGTAAACGTTGACAAGAGACTGAACAGTAAGAAGTAATTTTGCATTGTTGACATGCTTTCAACATTCCTGGTTTTCCTAGTTCAGGACCATCTCCACATGTTGCGCACAGTTCAAGAGGACGAGCATTGTGCATAATAGTACCGTTGATTGTTTTTGTAAGAACGGAGAACGCTGTTGGCATACGGCCTAAATCTAGTGGGGATATTTGTTGAACAATATGTCTCCATAGGGTCGATTGATGATGGGGGAACGAAGTCAAGGATTGTCGTAAGAATTGCTCTTGACCTATTTGATAAGTTATGGATGCACTATTTCACATCACTTACCTAACGGCAAACCATAGGGCTCTGTACCGACTAAGAATTTTCTAATCAGTTGTTTCAATGGTGAAGAAGCATGATCTTGAATATTTGTACTTTTTGGCTCTTTGTCGTAATATTCTCCGGCTTGGCGTATACAACAGGCCAATAAATGAAGTTTTAAGGATAATGGTTCATGTGTTAAATGAGGTGTGAAATATTTGTTGCATAAATCTTCAAGAATAGTATGGATGCAACGCCAATGAGTCAAAATACATTTCTCGTAGTTTTCTCCTGAGCGACTACAGGTTTCGATCTCATTGTTCAGTAGCAGAAAGACCTAAAATGTACAAGGGACTCCTCAATAAATATATTACTCCACAGTAAAAAAGTGAGTTAACTGATATTTGAGTATTAGATCAAAGAATGAAAGATATTCTACAGCTAAAAAACCAGACCTTATATATTTCTCTGTAAATTTAATGAAAACATCTATGCACATTTGGGTACTTCGATTACGTTTATAGTGGCTGAACTACATTATGACACACTTAACAGTGATACATATTTTCCTTCACCAGTACGAAATCTTATCACTTGCTCTAAATCTTTTGTTCGTTTAAGATCATTGTAACACTTAAATATTTCAAAGTAGCTGGGAATATTTTAGTATGATTTTCTGAATGAACCAAGTGAACAGTATGTCTGTGTCCAAAACACTCAGTACTTCACGATTTTTTCCGACTACATAGAGAAACCTGTTTTAAAATCATACTAGTTCACGTAATGTAAAGTATGTTCAACTTTAGACTAAATGAAGACAAGTTTAGATGCGAAAGTGTTAACTGGATCAGAGTACCTTGAAAATCTGCCTAAGTTTGTAAAGATAAGTATTCAATCATTGAAAACTACAATACATACAGAGGGAACGTAAATGTCATTAAAAACTAAACATCCCACAATAAAGTGACGATTTTAGTGAGAAAAAAGTTACTCAAATGGTTTTTTGCAGTTATTGACAACTTGACACGTTTTTGTTCTGGTAGCTGTTTATATAGGGATATTTGAACAACAAAATGCCACTTTACTAGCAAGCAAGTGGCATGAGTTTTGAGGAGCTTTACTAATCTGGGTATCAATGATATTATTTGTTCTTACATGTTAATAGCGGTGCAATAACTTTTATTTGTGTTGAAATATTTGCAAGTAAAGTATTAACTTCAATCAATAAGTGAAAAATGAACTGATCAGTGTACATGAATAATTCATCCGATAGTTTCATCATATACAAGGATATTTGATGATAGTATGAGTACATTCATGTTGATCTTATGACTTATTGTATTCTCGGCGAAAAATCACATCAAATTCAATCTGAATAGGGTAGACTTTGTGTCCATATATTGAATAGGATTGTGTCGACTGGAGAAAACAATGAACTTTAAAGCAATAAGTCTATTTGATAAATTTAGAGTGTAATAAGATAATCTTCGTTTTATTACACTATCAAAATAATAAACATTATTTTGATAATTCATTAAAACCGATTTTGTAGTAACCTTTAGACTTTTTATCGCGAATAACCTCGACATAACTGACATACGATGAAGAACTAACCTGGTTACATTCAAACCAATTTAATTTATTAAAAATTACTTTCTATGCTCTTTAACTTTGAGGGGTATCTTAACAACTGTATGCAGTTCAGATCACTTGTCAAGCTTTTCAAACACGCATTAACTACTCCAACCCACAGGCTACATACGAAAGTGTACTTAGTTTTATTATCTTACGCTATATATAGTGACATCAACTGTAAACGACCAATAGAGTGCCGGACTCGAAAAATATCTGGATAGAATAAGTATGTATAACAAACTTTAGTTGCAGTTAATCCACCCGCGGAATTGAGTTTTGTAAAGGCACTATCTGATACAACGTCCGACCTCAAAGGAAAGGAAGTAAATCTATAGGTGGTGGTTAATATATAAAGCCAAATTAAAATTACTTTTGACCGCAAACATGTTAGAATGCATTGAGCATTCACGTACGTACAAATTGAACTTTAAGTTATAAATAGGCAGTATACCGATCATCAATAAATGATGAAGTCTTCCACATAATATCCGATAGATTTGATTAACTATTTTCGAAGGGAAAGTTGAGTGATAAAAATGTCAGGTTATATGAGTCCCTCATCAATGAATTTTTTGAGTCTTTATTTTTGGTTAATCAATCGCATCAGCATCCTAGGATGTGGACACAATCGGTTAACACAGGTTGCTTAATCAATGGTGCACATGGGCTCCATTATTCTACGGGAACAAATGGCGTATGAACCAATTGTTGGTCACTGGCTTCCATGGGACTGAATCTCCTTACGATGCTCCACTGCCTTGTGGATCAGACCGTAAGGTCGAAGGCTCGGGGAGTGGCCTCCTAAGAAAACCACCTGCTTCGGTTTGGGAACCCGTGCAGTATCACAGCCTTCACACATATCGAATGAGATTTATGTGGTGCATATGTATTTGGTGCCTCCTTGTACCAATGTCTATGTATTAAAATAAACAATCAAAAAATGATAAAGATGTATATGTTTGACTTTCATACACGTCTACTCAAATATATCCTACATAATGACCAATTTCAAGTTTATGTGAAGGCAACTGTTATGAAGTTTTTTTAATACTTTTTTGACCATTTAGTTCGGTAAATCCGAGGTGTTTTTCCACTAAAACTCAAGTTTTACGTGATTCGTCGTCAACCTAACGATACACTTGATGTGAAATCTAAGATGTGAACTGTATGAAACTTCATCTGGGAATGTGTAGAACATAGCTTTAAGATGTAGTGATTGCCGTCTCACATCGATTTTTGGCAGTTGCATACCGAAAAGTACGATGACCTTAGTGCATAAATAGGGCGAAGGATGGAATGGACAAATTATAGTCAAGTGGCAAAATAAAAGGATTTAGGCATTGTTTAACTGAGACGCATACGTATATTGCGGGGATATTATGGTTATCAATGAAACAACAGCTACTCACATATAGATATGTTTTAAATATTCCCATATTGTAAATTTAGAACAACATAAATAAGCGAACAATATTGTTTTCGATTACATCCTCATCAGGCTTTACTACAATATACAGTAATATTTATATACATATACAAAATTATTAAACCAATCAAGGTAGTTTATAAGTCAATGATAACAATGCAAACGATTACATAATAAGTGAAACGTGAAAAGTACAAACTGATGGTGTGACAACAGGTGCATTAGTTTTGATAAGAATAATAAAGGTTCAAACTTTCTCTTCGTTTATTGTTTTTCTTCACCCCCTCCTACCACTTTATTTTCTCTCAAGTATTCGTTTCATGGTCCAATTATCTGAACATTTTTTATTACGTCATCGAATAATTTTATAATTGTTATCTCAGTTTCTATATTTTTCTAATCATTGACCTATTTCCGATTATGTAACATTGGTTTGAACCTTTATTATTCTTATCAAAACTAATGCACCTGTTGTCACACAATCAGTTTGTACTTTTCACGTTTCACTTATTATGTAATCGTTTGCATTGTTATCATTGACTTATAAACTACCTTGATTGATTTAATAATTTTGTATATGTATATAAATATTACTGTATATTGTAGTAAAGCCTGATGAGGATGTAATCGAAAACAATATTGTTCGCTTATATATAGATATGTAACATACTTTAACAGGTGAAATATTTAGCTGCAAAACTAGTTTGTGGATCGTAGATACATGTTCAGGTAATAATTTTGACTTCGATACGTAAATGGCTATCTCTTCTCTTTCCATATAGTTATTAATAAGAGTGACGACGTTATGATTCCCTCATTTATTATTACAGGTAAGTTTGAATACCTACCCACAAATGCGGCCATTTGAGAAGCGGTTCTACCGATACTGTTTACATCATTTATTCGAGCCCCATAATGAAGAAGAAGTTCAACAACCTCAATATTTCCTACAAAATTGTAGAGATAAAGTAACAAACCTGAAAGACCAGCAAACATTAGGGCAGTATAACCCTGTTTGTG